AATCGGCTTCACTTATCTCTAATGAGTTGTAGTGTGGTGCTAGGAATGGCAAGAATCACTGACGATGCCGACCACGATGTTGGCGAAACGTCTGGGAATATACCACGTCCACGGTCCGACTCTGAAAATTATCATCCATACTATGGACTCCGGACCTAGTGCGTTCCTCTAGATCTTCTTACCAATATAACAAAGTTGCGAAAACAAGGTCAAACAACTTTTAAGTTAAAATTAATATATATACAGAATCAATGGAAATTAAAGTAAGAATAAATGTCCATACCACAAATATCTTACAACTGAATACGATAAAACCAGGCTACACGCAACCCGGGAATGAAACTTCATCATGATATGAGGATAAAAGCTTACAAGATGAAGCAAAGGGTAAATTACTCAAAGATAGAAATGAGCTGATTTCATTTAGTGGACTTGCCTCCAGAGGTTCTCTGTGCCTAAGTCGAATTTCGATCCGGCCACCGACTGCTTTGCGGCCCTCAACTAGATCAAAAGCTTGCTCAATAGTGGCCGAATTAGCTAGTTCACCTAAAGGCACGGATGCGACACCAAGGACACCGTTCTTCTTCAAAATACCACGGCGGTAGTATACCTAGACAAAAGGATTTTATAAGGTATGGGTTTTCAAAGCGGTTATTTTATAAGAATTGCGAAGCAAAAATAAACTCGTAACCAATTCAACTATCTTCTTATACTGAAGCTGTGTACGGCTTCAAAAAGAAGGAAGCTGCAAGGAAGAGCAGAGCTAGATACAGTATAAACAAAATCAGGAAAATATTAAACATTTGGAAAAAGCTAAGTTTTTATAGAGATAGAGTAAAAGAGCATTTAAAGAGCGAAGTTGAATCTGATTTAGCTTCGTTGCTTTATCCTTGCCTTACAAAGAACATTAATGAGATTTCAACAAACTTAGTGGTAATAGCTTCAAAAGCCTCATTAGTACATCAGTACTTTGGTACTACCTAACAAGACTGAGGACATAAATGAACAATAACAAATCGTAGATTCCAATATGGCTCTAAGTGCAGAAAGAGCTTTTAAATCTTACCAGATGGAATTAATGTGTAAGGGATTATACTCTGATTGTTAATTTATCAAGCACATTTCACTACAATTGGGCAAAATCAGGATCGCGTTGTGCATTTGAGTGCTAATACTTCGGTATTGGTGAATGCTACTATTAATTTGTATATTATAATTATAACTACATTTGATTCATATGACGATTAACGTGGTTTTGCAAGAGTAATCTTCATTAACTATAGAGGACCCATTCAATCAGTGCTGCATATATAGTGAGCAATTCATTTTACTCTCTATTAGCCCACTATACCATGCAATAATTTTTCTGAATAATTCTACTAAGAATTTTTGAGTTCAATAATCTGTAAATACATTGATACCAAGTCAATAAATTCTAGAGTGATTGCAGCTTAACCAATCGATTATGGTATCCTACCTCGCAGTGTTTCTTTGATTTAATTGAGGAAAAGAAATTAATAAATTAATTTCGAGGACGGTGATTATGCTGAGGGAATCAAGTACAAAGGGATGATGGAGCCACAAGCATTACGAAAAGAGATATGATTAAGGATAGAAAATGTAGCTATGACATGGCAACTAAAATGTATACCAAGGATATGGGAATGTGCACGGTCAATGGTTAGATACTTAAAGAACGCTTTGCAAACAATAGCAAAGGACGAAGTAGATTTAAGTTGTCTGAAGTCTCCCTATAAACACAACCAAATTGCCAAAAAAACAAAATCGAGTCCAAATAACGAAAATATATGTCTAGACGATATGCCACATCACCCTAGTCTTTATATCAGAGCAAAATTTCAAAAGCTGAATTCGAAGTTTCCCAAAACCATTAAAGCAAATAAATGAATTAATCTTAGTAAATAATGTATAAAGCTTAAGGCTAAACATTGGGAGTAAATGTATATATATATATATATATATTTGCGTATGTATCTATGTATGCATGCATG